AACAAATGGTACTTTTCGTGTAAATTTTTTGGATTTTTAAAATTTAAAATTTGGCCATTTCTCCTCTTAGAATGTACTTTATACCAAGAACAGAAATGATGCTTTCTCCTCCTTGAGTTGATCTTGGACACTAATATATAATGCACAGACAGTTTCAAATATAAGCAACATGCTCTTGAAGCCATGAAGTTTAATTTTCTACACACTGGGGCCCGGCGCGGTGGCGCAAGTGGTTAAGTCCTCGCCTTGCAACCCCGGGATCCCATATGGGCGCCGGTTCTAATCCCGGCAGCCCCGCTTCCCTTCCAGCTCCCTGCTTGTGGCCTGGGAAAGCAGTGGAGGACGGCCCAAAGCTTTGGGAACCTGCACCCGTGCGGGAGACCCGGAAGAGGCTCCTGGCTTCGGACCGGCATAGTATCGGCCCGTTGCGCTCACTTGGGGAGTGAATCATCGGACGGAAGATCTTCCTCTCTCTCTCTCCTCTCTCTGTATATCCGCCTTTCCAATGAAAAAATAATAAAAATAAATCTTTAAAAAAAAAAAAATAAAAAAATAAAAAAAAAAAAAAAAAAAAAATTTTCTACACACTGGCTTAAGCAGTTTAAGGAAAAGTGTTATGTACGTATCAGTAATACTGAAGAGGCAGACTTTATTCGCACATAGCACAGATGTACATCATCATCCAATCTAACAAAGGTACAATGGAAGTTAAGCTTAGTGAAGAACGACACTTACTTAATTACAAAATCCAGATCACTTTCAGTTTCTTAAGCTATGATCACTTTATAATCAATTCAAAGGTTCATTTTCTCCAAAAATGGTCTTAGTAAATAAAAGTTACAGAATTTGAGAAGTAGAAAAGCTAAGTTGTGAGCACCAGGCCTCAGTTCTGACTGCTTCCCGGGGACAGTGCTGAGAGCTGCGTTAGGAGAGAGGCGCCCAAGAGCCATGCAGCTACAGCTGCTGCTGTGCCCATTCCATTATAGTGTTTTTCTAAACAAGTTAACGGAATGCTGTGGCCCAAGAGGTGAGTGATTTATCAAAGGCCACAAAATGAAACTGATGCAGAGCCGGGTCTAGAACCCTGTGCACTTGAACATGAGTTCAGGGGCTCTGAACACATCTTGTTCAAGATTCTGTTCTCTTCACTGTGAAAAACCAAGGTGCAGATGGAACTAACTCAGTTCACCAGTAATCTATTGTGGCTGATTAGAAATCAACAAGATCCCTCTAGGGTTATCACTCCCCCTGGAGGGCACAAAAACTAGGACAGGGGCTGGGGTGGCTAGACCGAAAGGCACCCAACAACATCTGTGTGGGCTGGATAGTGGAGCTCGTTAGATGGAGCTAGGCTTCAATGCTCATTGCCGTGTATGAGAGCTGAATGGGATGTGGGACAGACTGGACTAGTCTGCTGAACATACTGGCAAACCAGGTTAGGGGGAGGGCGTGATGGAGGTTATTGCAGATCACTCCGACTAGGCTCCCACTGGTTTATGTGAGGGCCGAGTGTGTGCTGGGCAGAACCAGGCTGGACTGCAACACCCATTGGTCCTAGTGGAAGACAGGGCTGGAAACACAACCAACCCAGCGATTGCAACCACCAGATGATTGGGGCGATGGACTGTGCCAGGCCCTGTACTTGCTAGTACATACAAGAATCTGGTCTGGGAACACCTCAGACAAAGTTTCTTTGGGGATCCCCCCAATCGAAAATTCTGGACTCAGAACCCTAACCATGAAAAGACAGAAGACAGAACAAGTCAATCAACCACCTCAGCTATATGTTGGCAGCGAAATACTGAGCAAACAGAGACTCTATGATGGACTATTGTCAATCAGTGCATTCTTCAAAGACCTCATCGTGCTTGGAATGGCGAGATTGGCAGCAATTCATAACTGTTGAACTATCAAAACCTCTTGAGCAAGACCCTCGGAGCATGCCCCACATCAGGGACCTGGGGTGAGTGGGAGACTGGGTGGGGCTTCTCCCTTAATATCCCCCTTTACCTCAGATACATGAAGGAAACAATGTGGAAATAATAGTCTGACCCACTTTCTTGTAACCCTTGAACCTTTTTACTCTAATTAATTATGTAAAGATTGTCAAAAATATAATTTAAAAATGGAAAAAGAAAGAAATCAACAAGTTTTTGCAAGAAAGGTCAGTGAGCTACAAGACTTGAAAGGCTCAGAAAACTAAACACATGTGTCAGATTGTGAATACATTCGTGAGTCAAGTTTCTAAATATGGCCCAAGAGAAAATACACCTAACACTTGCCTTCAAGCAAAACCTTTCCAACAATTAAACTTTTATAGCTGAAAATCCTTTGGGGTTTATATATATATGTTTTGCTATCAAATACCAATCATATGTACTCTGACAGGCAAGCGAGCAGTTAATTAAGCAAAGGTACTTCCTTCAACCCAATCATTTATATTCTATCTCAACTGCTATCGACATGTTGGCACAAAGGTTTAAAATAACAAAGATTGAAACTTCACTCGGTTCTTCCTCTGGTGTATCTGAGATATTTAGTCATAATGTGAATATTAGAAACATTTAAAGAGTGAATCATACTGATTATTACACTAAGTAATAATAGTTTTTGTAGTTTAGAAAAGGTACTATTTTGAATTGGAAATAATATTTCAATGACTTTTTAGTAAAGATTCATGTTTACAACAAAGAACTGTGGTGAAACAAACTATTATTAAAAGAATCAGAATATAATATTTATATTTCACCAATAGCTAATTACTAGTAAATTGTTTTGAAAATTAAGTCTTGCACAATGTTCTATTGATCAGCGACATGTGAAAGTCAGGAGCTGTGAGTAAAGTGTGAGAATCCTCCCAAAAACTAAAACTTAGAACATGGAGCCCGGGACCCCGGCTGTGGCACAGCCAGAGAGGCCTCCTCCTGCAGTGCCGTCACCGGCTTGGCTGCTTGGAGCTCCCAGCTCTTCCGCTTCCAACCCTTCTCCCTACCACTGTCCCCGAGATACAGCAGAAGATGGTCTAAGCGCCTGGACCTCATGTGAGTGGAGCTCCTGGCTGCCGGCTTCCGGTGGCCCAGCTCTTTCAGGCCATGCACCAACAGAGCATCTCTCTCTCAGTAACTCTACATTTCAAATAAAGATATAAATCTTCATAAAAAAAAAGGATAATGGTCAAAACAAAGTCTCTACATGTACTTAACATGGGGAGCATTTTTCCCCCTGAAAAACAACAACAGGAAAGCCATTGATTTGAAATGACACATCCACCATTCAAAGCAAAGGCTGAGGGCGGCCGGAGATGCAGCACTTGGATACAGTCGTATAACTGGAGGAGAGAAACGGGGTCATTTCCACAAGCACTGTAGCTTTGTATAATGAATAGACAAGAAAGCCATGTCTTTGGGGACATTTGAATCACCTGGTTTATTTGCCTGTCATATATAATGCATTTTTAGGATAAAAGTGAGAATCAAATGATTATGCTAACTGAAGCTCAGTAAGGTTGATAGATGTTGAGATCGGGGTAATCAATAGTCTAAAGAATAAACTTATAACATGTAGAGTTACAGTGGTGCTAGAAAAACAAAACGTATTGTTGGAAAAAAAATCTCCTGTTTCGTTTCTATGAATGCCTTTTCTCCTGCACCTGTAGAAAATAATAATAATAATAGTGAAAAAGAATCAATCTGTTGTGTATCTAACTGAAGCAGGCTTGTCATTTGTAGAGCCTTTGCTGCTGGTTTATCTGAAACGCCAATGGCACTTTATCCTGATGGACCATTTCTTCAGCTACGTTTCTTTAGACACAAAATGACCTGGATAGCTTTTCCAGATTTAAACAGCATCTAGAGCTATCCAAAGCAGACACGAAGTCTTTGCGCAGCTGTCAAAGTAAGGAGTGAGAGGCATGGTGGGGTGGGTCGTGTCCAGCCCTGGATGAGCAGCAGTGGCCACAGCGCAGCCCCGAGGGATTGGGATGGGCCATGTACAGCCCTGGATGAGCAGCAGTGGCCACAGCTCAGCCACCAGGGATTTGAGCAACGTGCAGTGCACATGGGGAGGGGGAGGTGTGTTCTGGGAGCAAGGGGCAGGTAATTTTTGTGTAATTTAAACATTCATGTAAATAGACAAAAATCACAGTCGTTCTACTGAGATATAAAGGCAAGAAGAGGCTGCTGTGGGGAAAGGGAAGGCCCTGGAGGAGCCGCTGTGTTCCCCGCGTGCCTTAAAATCCGCAGCAAGCGGCTGCCCAGAGTTCCAGGGTCCTCCACGCGGCCGGACCTCCGCCCTCACCCAGCGTAGCCAACTCCCGGCTCTTGGTCCGTTCAAGTGCAAACCTGTTTCTTCAAAAGTTAGCGTACAAAAGAGATTTGGTTGCTACAAGTGTTCTTTGTAAGTACATTTTGATCATCAGAAAAACAGCTTGCACATACTTCCTAAAACAGAGAATCTAGAATAAGTAAAATCATTTCCATTTCCATCTGGCCCCTGGATTCACAGCCACTGTGAAGGTCTATTCTTTAGCTCCGTAAAAATGCAATCGGAAGCTTTGAGAGCTATGCCATTGTTGCCAAGCCCCTAGGTCATGTTATACGTGCACATTCCTGGGCTCTGTTTTCAAAATCCAGTCCTGAGAGGGACTCAGGAATCCACCTCTCACCCACAAGCTGGGGCAGTGTGTCACCCAAGCCAGCCGGGCCTCAGCTGGCAGAATCACTGCCTGCCAGTAAGTCCTCCCTCGTCCTTGGTAGCTTCCGCCCCAGCAAACTGCCGGAACGGGCTCCATCAGGGTGGTTCTGAAAAGCACATGGACTGCCACACGACTCAGCCAGAGCAAATGATCAGGACAGCTCAGGACAAAAGCTGAAGTCCCATCCAGAGACCTTGAACTTGGCCACACCCCACGCACTACTCAGAACAGGGGTCTCCTTGGGATTTTCTAAGGGTGAAGAGGCCCGCCAAAAGGGTTATTATTATTATTACTATTATTATTTTACCTCTTTCGGTGACAATATGGAGATATAATCTTCATATATCATCCTGGCTTTTTCTTCTATCACCTTTTTATTCTGTTCCTTCTTCAAGTCTTCGCAGGCAAGCCAGAAAAGTAGATTTTCTTCACTGTATTCTGTTCGGAGGAACTCTCTGAAGAGGTTTCTCCCTGCTGGGGCCTTCATCATCTTGTCAAAATTCTGAGACCAGGACAAGACCTCATCCGCGGTCGGGTTTTGGCTGGAGAGGACAAGAAAGAATTCATTATCAGGCAGCTGTGACCTAGGCCGGCCGGGCAGCGATGGTCTTCGGTTGCTGCCACCTGCTGGTCGCTACTTGACTACTCAGTCAGGTCAGATCTGGTCAAATCCCAGCCCAAACTGGGAAAGTTGGTTCTGGATGTGGACCAACATTCCCACAGGCAGGAGTTCGGGGAAGGGGGCGCAGCGCTCACACAGCAAGGAGCTGTGCCCGACAGGCACCCAGCCCTCGTAAATCCTGGGTGAAGCTTGGAAGCGTCTGAGCTCTAACGACACAAGTAGTCAGAAACAGACTGGAAATGACTGTGGAAAGCGCCTCTAATTTTTTCTTTGCCTCTGATACAGCTTCCAATTTCCCAGTTATACATACACGGGGCATTTTTGTCTTCGCCAGGCATTTTTCATGTGTCACTGGGCCTAACAAGAACAGTTGGATGGTGTGTATCTACGACACACTGCCCAAAACACGAAGGGTTTTTCTGAGGAGTTATCACTGTTGAGAAGTCGAAGGCTTTTATGACGACACAGGGGCTTTGCAAACGATATCAGTGCTAATGTTTAAAGGCGATTGTACTGAAAGACACATCAGCAATTGTTGCATTTTCTTTTCCTCAAAGAAGTGGAAGAACGGAACCTGCAAATTCCTTTTCCCTCTCCCTGTTGCACATCATGAAAATTCTCCCTGAAGCACGTTTGGCCGATGACGTCATGTACATCTTTCTTAGCCTTTAGGCCCGCTGTTTGACTTGGATTTGTTACCAATCCATAGTGCCTGTTTTTTTTTTTTTCATTCACTTAACTTCTCATTTTAATAATGCTTCTAAGTTACTACGAAGCATCTTTGGCAATTTTTGTTTTTTGAAAGAGAAAGATCTATGTGAATGACATTTAAGCTGATGCCACGACCAGCAGAGACATTGAATGAAAGGCCATTGAGGTCACAAAGTCAGCTTTCCCAGACTGAACTTGCATTCATTTCCCTGAGCTTCTCTGCGGGACAGCAGAGAGCGGGAGAGGATGCTCACGCGCTCAGCCGACAGCGCGGAAACCCAAACCCAAGCGCAGCGCGCTGGCCACACTCACCATTCTTCTAGGACCTGGATGCTTTCCATTTTTGTGGTGTGTGTGGGTCTCCCTGCACTGTCCCCTCTGTCTTCATTCCGGACGGTGAGGCTGTAAGATAACACAACACTATTTTGTCAAGGGAAATTTTGTGCATTAAAGAAAAGAGTGGCGTTTTCAGGAAAAACATTTTATAGGAGATTTCATTTTCAACTCTCTGAGAATATTTAAAAGACAAAAACAGCTTTATGGTTTTTAAATGGCCGGCAAGCCCATGTTGATAAACAAAATAGAAAACTTTAACATAATAAAGCAAATCAGAGTATTAAAAATGGATATCATCATAAATTCTGACTTTGACCATATAATTTGAATTACTTAGAAATGGCTTAGACAAATGAGCATATGCTGCGGTTTTTCACAGATGTCATTGCTTTATTCCTTTTAAAGTTTTTAAATCGTGACAGATAAAAGACTTAATGCATTCCATGGACACAGTTAAAGAAGACAATTCGACTGCCTTTGCTCCCTTCTCTATCTTCAACCATATGGACACAGACGTAAATTTAATCTATTCCATATTCACAGGCTTACCTTGCCACTAACCGTAATATTCAACACGTAAAATGTGAGAGGATCAAAAGGCCACATTTCCACTCTATCGTAATCACGAGCTAAGAGCAAAGTGTGTGGGTGTGTGTATGTTACGTGTTAGCTCTTTAAATGGGACCTCATTTTGACTTTCGGTTGGTTCCATTCAGTTCATTTTCTATCGATTTTCTCCACTGATAACTAAGAGGATAAAACATTTCGGAATCTAACACAGGCTATCTTTCCTCACAGAGCAGCTGCACCGTCAGATTCTGTCCTTTGCCCAGCCACTAATCCTCCTGCTGTTGGACTTGAATCTGATTGCATCTTTAGCTTTTCCACCCCTGGCAGTCAATTTCCATTGTCTTGTGAAGTACAAAGTTTAGACCTGGATAGGAAAGATCTCTGTCTCCTGGGATACATTTTGGGAATTCTACCAAATTATACAAATGAGGCCAAGCTTATGGGTGTGGGTACCCCAGAATTTCAGTGGTCTGGTTCAGGCAAGCAGAGGCTGGGCAGCCCCTTCAGCTGCAACAGGCAGGTTCTAGGTGTGGGCCAGACACACAGGGCAGTCGCTCATGGGCGGATCTGAAGGAAGCTGGAGAAGAGGGCTTCACTGCCAGGCATCACTTGTAAGAAATGGATACTTTTGTCAGAAAGATGACCTTCCTGACCATCTGTCAGCATGAAAAGTTCAGAGGTGATCTCTTTCAGTTCTCCATCCTTCCATTGATGTGGTCCATCAGAGGCAATGGAAAGATTCACTTTTTAGTGCTTGTTATGACCCACATGCCATTCATTAAGCACTCATGCTATTATCTCCATTTTGCAAATGAGCCAAGTGAATGGCACAGTAGGTAGTTTTCAAACAGAACACTATACGCGTGGCACTGTTGGAGTTTAAATGTTGCTCTGCGGAAGCACCCTTCATTCTTTCTGATCACCTACTGGGAACAAAGCCCTCTGATAGATCTCCTGGTTATTTACCACCGATGTGAATGCAAACAGTGTCCCAAAATACGGGCTGGAAAAAAAGACATGCAGGGAGACAGCGTCCAACAAGTAGTGAGTCGGGAAAGTCTGGGATGAGTAACAGAAACAACGTCTCCTCGATTCACTCTTTCCTTTGAGGATGCAGAAGTGAGGCTGGAAAGAGCGTGGCAAAGGGGAGAATGAGAGGAGCAGGAGCCCCACGCACAGGCCAGCCTGCGGCCAAAGGAAGACGGCAATAACTTACTGGAGAACACTGGGCTCGTTGGACGAAAGAGTCCAACAGAAATCGACATGGACAGTCAGAAAAAGGACGCCACAAGCAAGAGACATAATGTAACAATGAAACAAAGATCTCCGGAGAGCGTGTGGCAGGATAATGGCAGGTGCACTGATGTGGAATCACACAGATGGGAGCGCCCTTCCCTGCTCCCTGCCAATATGCCTGGCAAGGCAGAGGATGACGCCCGATGTCTTGGACTCCACCCAGCCACATGAAAGACCTCGATGCATTCCAGTCTTTGTATAAGCATGATCCAGTCAAGGTCATTTGGGGAATCAACAAGTGGATGGCAGATCTTTCTTCATCACTCTGTTCTTCAGACAAATGAGTAAATAAGTAAATATTTAGGAAAAAAGCTTCCAGTGGACCTTGGCTGGGCGGAAGGACTCGGGGAGCAGTGCTGATCAGGCTTCCGTGTGCGGCTGTGGGAGTGTGCTTGCGGTTCTCTCTGCTCCTGTGAACTCGAGTCAGATAAGTGTTACAGGAGATTCATTAAGTTCTCAAAGTATCTCTGAGTGATTCTCTCCCCAAACGGCCGCAATGGCCAGAGCTGCGCTGATCTGAAGCCAGGAGCCCAAAGCCTCTTCCGGGTCTCCCACGCAGGTGCAGGGTTCCAAGGTTTTGGGCCGTCCTTGACTGCTTTCCCAGGCCACAAGCAGGGAGCTGGATGGGAAGCAGGGCCACCGGGATTAGAACAGGCACCCCTATGGGATCTAGACGTGTTCAAGGTGAGGACTTTAGCTGCTGAGCTACTGTGCCAGGCCCCTGGCCAGCTTTGTTGAATTTGTGTGTGTATATGTGTGTGTATAGATACACACACCTTAAAGCACTATCAAAAGACTTGCAAAATATCTCGCCCGGATCCAATAGTAGCATCCTGGAGACCGATTCTGTTTCTTTCCCACACAGTGTTGCCTACGAAGTGCAGGCTCAGCTCCTTTCACACAACGTCTCTGAGAAGTTTGTTCTCCAATGATGCCATTTCTGAGGAGTGACAACTCTGAAATCCGCACAGATGAATCACAACTCCCTGAACGTGAATCTTGGCTCCACTATCTATTTCTGTGCTATTTACAAACATCCCAAATGTTACCATATTAGCGTAATGGTGATAGAAGACTGGCTTGTATCTGTGTCTGTCATTCCCACAGATGGTAAAACACGGACACACAATTGAACCAGAACTGCACATGACAGCCACTCAATTTTTTCTCTAAGATATTTTTATTTGAAAGAGTTACAGAGAGAGAGAGACACAGAGAGAGAGAGAGAGAGAGAGAGAGAGAGAGAGGAGCTTCCACTTGCTGATTCACTCCCCAGATGGCTGCAATGGCCAGAGCTGAGCTGGGTTGAAGCTGGGAAACAGCAGCTTCCTCTGGGTCCCCACAGGTGCAGGGCCCATGTCTTGGGTCGTTCGTGTGTTGCTTTCCCAGGCCATAAGCAGGGAGCTGGACTGCAGTGGAAGACATGGCTCCCCAGCTGGTGCTCATCTGGATTGCTGGCATTACAGATGGACGATTAGCCTGCCATGCCGCTGCACTGGCACCTCAATATTTTTTTAAAAAAAGATTCATTGTAATTTTTATTTAAAAGGCAGATACACAGAGAGGAGGACAGAAAGAAAGATTTTTTTGTCCGATGGTTCATTCTGCAAGCAGCCACAATGGCTGGAACTGAGCTAATCTGAAGCCACGAGCCAAGAGCCTCATCCGGGTTTCCCACGCGGGTGTAGGGTCCCAAGGCATTGGGCCATCCTTGACTGATTTCCCAGGCCATCAGCAGTGAGCTGGATGGGAAGTGGGGCTTCTGGAATTAGAACCAGCTCCTGTACGGGATCTAGATGTGTTCAAGGCAAGGACTTTCACCGCTAGGCCACAGCACTGGGCCCGCTCAGTACTTTTTTTAACCATCCACATTTGTATCATGCTTAAACTGAGACAAAATCTTGCCTTGCAGCAACTGAACAACCTGTCCTTTTAACAAGCTGTGCTACAGGAGTGCTCTTAAAAAATGTATTTCAAGGTCTCAGTCATCCATAGTCACTGATAGGAGGTATTTTCAGATGAAGAGAAATGGAGAGAATAATCAAGGAACCGACTGGATGGAGGAGCAGGCAGAGGCGTGAACTGCTGGCCTGTCTGGCTGTGAGTGGATGCTTCCCGTGCTGGTGGCTCTTGCTCTAAATAATACGGATTCTTTTAGGGTAATACATGACTGGAAATATGTGTTCCAGATTAAAATGTACATATTCTGTATGCTTGAAAAAAATCTCCACATTAAAGACCAGTCGTATTTGCGAGGGGTCACGCCAAAACATGACTTTGTTTTCACTTGAGTATGCGCAACAATTCCACTTCTAAAACAACACTACACCGTGTTCACTGTGGCAGCTGGAATCAAAGCTTAAACAGCCCATGAAAGAACAATGCCAATAGCCTAGCCTAAATGTAATGCAATAAGCATTTAAAATCACATGAGGGGATTTTAAAGAATGATGATTTTGAGAAGGGAGCAAAAACATATGGTATATTTCAGAAAGTCAGGAAACAGGTTCTCTCTCTGTACAAAACTGGGTTGTTTGCTTCCAAGGCAGGTGGACAGCGAGGGGGCGAAAACACTGCCTGGATGGCAGGGAAGGGTTTACGTACTGATTTGGATCACGGTTGTAAGGCCCACGTTGGAATGATCAATTCTTGGGAAGAATCTTTAAATGGTTGTAAATAAGATGGGTTCTTTGCAGTAAGCATGGTAACTCCAGCATAGAGGGCCGCTCCTAACAGCACATGTAATTACACAACAAATTCAACCTAGGAATCCACAGTCCACCTACACGTAACACAGTGTGACATCCGGACCCTCAGACGGAGCCACGGCCATTGCTCAAAGCAGTGACAGCCAGCATTTTAATATTCTCACATTGTGACACGTGTCTTATTTAAAAGCTTGAAGCTCAAATGTCCCAGCGTTGTGGCAAAAACAAAGTCAACATCCTTCAGGATCTGAAAAGGACTTTGAGGATTATTCTCTAAACCTTTGACTTTCCCCATTCGAAAATATCACAGCAAGATACCACAGCTTTATTCAGTTCACAGCCATTTTGCCAAACAGGCCCAACAGCTGGCTCACGCAGTGATGCCTCGATGAGAAGCAGGAGCCGCACACGGGCTCTGCTCTGGCGCAGGTGAGTGCATGTCACGTGACAGTGTGATGAGCACTCACATAGGGTCGTGTCCACGGTGTTGTC